CTGAATGCAGAGTGAATATATTGATCCCCGGGTCGGGCACGTTGACTGCGGCCGTCCTGCCCGGCGGTGTCCCGGTGATACTGCCCGGTTCTCGGGGTCTCCTCCCCCGGTTCCCCTTCCCTTGGTGCGGCTGGGACGCGTGGGGCTGCGGCGGCTGCAGTCCTCCGGTCGATGTGCTCTCACCGACCCGTCCGACCTGCTGTCCCATCCCGGTAGTGAAGCGAGCAAACCCCCCCTGCACACCTCTGGTTCACATTCCCCTCAGAGCTGGAGCGGCCTGGCCCGAATAGTCTTCCTCTCTCCCCCCCTCCTCTCCGCTCTTCTCCACGGAGCTTACGCTTGCTAGCCTGTGTTAGCTCCGTGTGCTAACCTGGGTTAGCTCGGCGGGCTAGCCTCTGTTAGCTCAGTGAGCTAGTCTCTGTTAGCTCCGTGTGCTAGCCTGTGCTAGCCTGTGTTAGCTCTGCGGGCTAGCCTGTGTTAGCTCGGCGGGCTAGTCTGTGTTAGCTCAGTGGGCTAGCCCGTTAGCATCTCTCGGTGCAACCCACCCACCCTGCCTTTTAACAATAAAATCACAACCCCCTGCGGGTGACAGCGGCTGTGTTTCTCCCTGTGGTCCAGACGGTATCCGAGCTGATATTACCGGTACCTGGCGAGCGATATTCGGCCAATTGTGGAGCTTTTTCAGGCTCGTTTTGCCGCTGTCCGGCCGCTCCGCGCCCCCTCTGACGCCGCCATCTTTACCGCAGAACAGAAGATGTGTTCCAGGAGGCGGGGGTTCGGGTCCCTGTCACCGGGACTCTAACCGGGTCCCAACGAGCACCGGAGCACCGGGTCCATCAGGCGGGGGGACCGAAGTGATCCAGGCAAAGTTAAGGGGAAAAAATGCCCCAAAAAGCTTTGAAAATCACTTTTTAGAAAGAAAAACATTCCTTGATATGACATTGTTTAATCATAAATGGGTGTTCTATGTATTTGTTTGTTCATTTATCTGTTTATTTATTTGTTGTTTTATGTATTAGTTTTGTTTGTTTGTTTTTCAATAACAAATGTATTTCTTTAAGAAAAGAAAAAATATGGTAATGTAGTTTTTGGGAGAAGGGATTAAATAAGTGTAAACTTCTTCCCACCCCTGAACTAATGATCACAAACATTGCTTTTTCCATTAGTTTGACATGGAAACGACAGTGCATGTGCTGAATATCTCACAATACAATCTGAAGCCCTTAGTGCAAGTATCCTTAATTGCAGTATTAAATGATTGTTGCTGTGGTCCTGGATCATAAGTCCTGGATGGATATCCTCGTGGATTCATCTTCCTATTATACACACATGCATTTCCAAACATTTGGTCTACCTATGTTGTAAATGTATTATCTTTTCAATTTACACACGGCATCTATTGCACGTCTGTCCGTCCTGGGAGAGGGATCCCTCCTCTGTTGCTCTCCCTGAGGTTTCTCCCATTTTTCTCTTTAAACTCTGGGTTTTCTCCGGAGGTTTTTCCTTGTACGATGTGAGGGTCTAAGGACAGAGGATGTCGTATTGTCATACTGATATTCTGTACAAACTGTGAAGTCCACTGAGACAAATGTAACATTTGTGATATTGGGCTATATAAATAAACATTGATTGATTGATTGATTGATTGACTGTTGAGGAACATGCGATCTAAGTTTGTCTTGAACCTCATTAAGCACTGTGACTGTATAATGACTCAGACTTATAAAACATACCAGAATAAGTCAAATCATATTGATTCATCAATTGTTCACATACTTTATAGACAGTATACACTTCTATAGATCCACTAAAGATCTTTGCAAATTTGCAAATGAATACATCTAAAGCAGGGGGGTCAAACTCAAATACACAGTGGGCCAAAATAAAAAAAATGGGTACTAGTCGAGGGCCGGACTGGTTCAATGTTTATTGCAGAACGTATTGAAATGAACTTATTGCACATATTAAACCTGGAACTAACAAAGCTTAAATTATTGCCTATAAAAACAACATGAAACATTAAATAATCAGTTGCATTCATTTCTTATGGCTCTATCTGCAGCTTCTCCAGAGTCATTTCTCATGAGTACATTTTTCCACAGGCCAACAACAGCTTCAACAAAACTATTCCCCTCAAAGAACAAACCAAACATGCCCTGTTGTCGTGAGAGAAAAAGTGCAGAAGGAAACATGTAAACTCAGTGTGCTGCTCTGTGATGCTAGCTCAGATACTTGGCATCTCATCTTGGGAGCAAGGTCATCAATGTTTGGGGCCAGGCTCTGAGCTGAGGAGACCCTCAGGATGGAGTGAAGGTGTGCGTGCAATATACCAGAGGGCCAGATCTAATAGTAATTAGAAATTATCCTGCGGGCCGAAATTAAATCCACCAAGGGCCTGATTTGGCCCCCGGGCCTTGAGTTTGACACATGTGATGTAAAATAACTAATGAAAGACTGTATCAATACCATTAAGTTGGCACAATGACCATTATATACAACATGTATAATACAAAACAGGTTAAGGCAACATATTCTTGAGTTCTTACACTTTGTCGAGTCTTTACAAAATGTATCAGACACTTTTCAAACTGATTCATAATGAGTTCACAGGACACATAAATGACAGAGTATATGACCCAAATATAAATAAATCATTTCAATAAACAGGTTGGCTCTTAAGTTTTTCCCTGCATCTCAATTTCAAGATAAAGGGACTTGTCAGGAGTTACTTAGTAGTACAGGGTAGCCCAATCATTCTGTTATCTGTACATATGTATACAAATAAGTAGCTGGTAGTTGTTTGTTAATGTATTATGTGTAAATGACTCTGGGGAAGCCTCTCCGTGAGCAGAGGCATCAAAGTGAAGCTTTACTGCAGCGCCACCTTGTGGTCACCGTTTTTGAAAGTGCAGAGTTTTTTCTTAATTGTGCATCTCATTATTCACACATGTAAACACATTATCTTTCACTCTCCCTGCTGTCAAACATGTCAGTATTTGAGTGACATCAACTGTGCATTACCTTTGAGATGTACTCACAAGACAGCATGAACTAATGATCACAAACATTGCTTTTTCCATTAGTTTGACATGGAAACGACAGTGTACTTATGATTTAAACAAAACCCTGTCTGACTGCATGTGCTGAATATCTCACAATACAATCTGAAGCCCTTAGTGCAAGTATCCTTCATATTTAAGTTCAATTGCAGTATTAAATGATTGTGTGTTTCAGCTTCACAAAACTCTCAAAAACAGAACATCTTTCAGATTAAAAAGGGAATTATCTCTGAAGCTAAATTCATGTTCAAACCAGTTCAATTACAAATATTGGGATGATTACAAATACATTCAGCTGTCAGACTATATGAACTTAACTCAGCATAGTTTCCATCTCCATTTAGTTTAAGATTCATTATACAATCATGTCCCAACCTTTTCCAACGCACCTTCCTTTTCCTTTTCAGACAAACCTTCTGCAGTATCTCTCATGAATTTAAACAAAACATCAAACAGCGGCCGTTCTTTTCCAAAATAAATCTATTTGGCGGTGAAAATAAATAACATTCTCAACATACTGAACGTTATCTGTAATACAGTAGTAACTGCACACTGTTAAATATGAACCATTGTGAGTGATGTTTGTATTTCCTGTTAGCCATCAGATCATATTGGCACAAGGAGAGGTTTCACAGCTGATCGAGGCGAACATAATGGAAATGCATCTGGAAATCAAATAAAAGCTCACATGTGATTAAATGTGAGTGTGTCAGTGTGTTGGGATGATTTTGAAGACATAAAACAGGAGAGTAAGGCATCGCTGTGACTTTGCTGCTGGAGTAAAGAACATTTTGGCACTTTATTGGATCTCTTCCATACATTCATACACAGACACATGACCAGGGGCGCAGATCAAAAGGACTTGGGGTGCCTCTGAGATCACAGGGGGTGCAGCAGCAGTAGGTTTACGTGAGCAATAGCGGCCGGCAACAGCAATGGAAAATAGCATTGATGTTATGGTCCCCAATGAACAGATTGTGGCACTTGTTATGTTTTGAAACCAAGCAAGTGAGAACATGTCAAGTTAAAAGTGCAATCCTGAAATATTTCATCCAGTCCAAACCGGACTATGGCAAAGAAAAGCACAAAAGCTTCAAAGCTGTACCTGGGCAGGCTGCTCCGGGGGGGGCGAGTCGGGCGGGAGTAAGCTAGTGTCCATGTAAATGAAACTAGAGAGAACAGACGGTAAGACAGAGGCAGTGAAGAGACCTGGATCACAGCCAATCAGAGTCCAGCATCTCTGTGACAGCTCCACGAGCGAGGCTTCAACAACTCCAAGAATGAAGGCTGAAATAAATACAAAAAATCACATGAAACTCAATCTGTGTCCAGGCTTAAGGTTGGCAAAGCTAACACTCATATTCAGCTGTTCATGTTCTATTGTTTTATGGTTCAGTGATATAACTCCTCTCTTTCCTCCCATTGGTTCTTAGAACAGCAACTTAAACAAGTCCTTGGACATCGACACACATCGAGGCTACTGATTGGATGCCGGGTACAGCTGTGGTTATACAGGGACAGTTGGAGCATGGACTAACTAGTTAATGGTAATAACACAATGTCATTTTCATCGTCTAGTTTTGTGCTGAAAGGAGCTTTTTTTCCCACCACGTCCAAGCAGGGTGGTTGATGTAGACGAATGATTTTAATACAATATTGTTCCTCAATGTCGTAAGATGTTATTGAACACATTTGAAGTGGATTGGAGCAATTCTGTACAAGGAATTTGTTAAAATACGGTAAAGAAATGCTGTTAAATTCAACATGGCCGACTTCCTGTTGGGTTTAGGGACGCGCTCCAATATCGTTTTTTGTTCTTCTCCATGTGTTACATATACCCACCAAATGTCATACACGTAGGACACTTGTACAGATACGTGCTGCGTTTATGCCCTCAGATCTGTGATTGTTTGAAGGGAAAAAATAACAATTTCTACAGTTTCATGACGTCCTGAGACCCGATTTTGTCTCTGCTCTCCCCAATAAGGAGCATATGAGAGTTTAGGTCAGGGGGGTCAAACTCAATTTCATCGCGGGCCACATCAGCATTATGGTTCCACTGAAAGGGCCGGTTGTAACTTTAAGACTATATAAAAATACATATATAAATATTTAACCCTTGTGTTGTGTTCAAAAGTCAATTTTGACCCATGATTTATTTCATCCAATATTGTTTTAACTACATCATAACTAACTTATTATGCATTCATAACCGTACAATCCTGTTGTAATTTAATGTTATGGCCCCAAAACACATTACACCACATATTGCACACGTGCATGTGTGAGTTCAGGTTCAAGTGTTAGTGTACATATTCTTTGAGAAAGGTGGAGTTCCCGTGGGGGGGGGGGGCAGAGGGAGGGGAGATCAGGTGCATGTTGCGAAAAATGATTGTTACAGTTGATGAAGGGGGGGGGGGAGGGGTGTCTAAAGTCAAAGATGAATCTTGATTGGGCCAAATTTGACCTTGAGTCACCCACAACAATTCTGCTGGGTCTCCCCAGACCCCAACACCAAATTATACACTTTTTTTTTAGAGATCTTCAGACTTGGCAAACATTGTCAGAATCAGTTTTGTAGTGTTTATATATTGTTCCGTTATTATATAATTTGAACTTGAAACGGGTCACCCATAAATAACTAAGTCTAGGGCAAATAATTGCAAGTCTCTTCAGTGAGAATGTCACAAAATGATTTTTTTTTTTAAATGTCAAATTCTGCCACATTTTGAAGCAAAAAATTCACATTTTGAGAAAAAAAAGTAAAATCCTGAGAAAAAAGTCAAATTATAAGAAAAAAGGCACATTTTGAAGATTCTGGTTAAAAGTGTGAAAGTGTTAAAGTGCTCCTGCAGGTGTTACCTCCGTCAGAGGGCAGTACTGCTGGGCGTACCACTCCTGAGAGTACAGGCAGAGGATGACCCCCTGACCGAGGAACAGAGACGTCCACATGATCACGTTCCAGATGGGACCTTTCCTCCGGTCGTGCAGGATGAAGTTGAACATCACTGAGAGAGAGAGAGGGAGTATATTACCGTATTGACCCGAATATAAGATGGGTTTCTTTCGTCATCTTATATTCGGGTTCTAGACTTTTCGATGTAATTACAGTCACAACAACAGATCGCGCCAAACGAGTGTTCCCCCAAGCGACGGCACATTTGAACACAATGTGTAGTTTCCTTTATAAAACAAGATTTGGTCTTCAAAAAGGTATTTCTCCAAAAATGAGTCTTGAAAAAGAGGCGTCGTCTTATATTCGGGTCGATACGGTATTAAGATAAATGCAGAGAGACTGAGTTCGACCAGTCATTTATGGTGACTGACATGCAATAATAACAGAGTGGAGAGAGATGAGTTGTCTCTTACTTCCGAAGCACATGAAGAGGCAGAAGAGGACGGGGTAGAAGAAGCCGAAGCAGATGGCGAGGATGTACTCGTGCACGACGGCAGAAACCGTGAACACAAACAACATGGCCGCCGGTCTGAAGCGCTTCCGAGACATCTGGAGAAACAACAGAGAGGACAGAGGAGTCATTAGGGTTCATATTTTTGCACAATTAGCACCAAAGAATTCACAAAGGATCAAATATCACGGATGCTGATGACGATGACCTGAAGTTATATTTTCATGAACAATGTACGCTAGAGGGGGACCAGGAACGTTGTTAAGCTTCTTCTCGACCCTTTTGATCATGAAGGAAACTATTTGAGAATTGATTTTTTATACCTTGAAAGTTTTTTTATTTTGTTTCTTTGTTGTTATTATTATTGTTTGTTTTGTTTCTAACATGTTCAATGAATTGACTAATAAAAAAAACAGTTAGATTGGAAATATTTGAGTAGTTTTACCATACCTTTAATATTTCAGAATATGGAATTAAATAATGTTCATTAAGACAGAATTAAATACGGTTTATTACGGTGATAACTATTTAGATAGACAAGAGGCGCGTTCACACCAAGTACTTTGCCGTATTTAGTGCCGGCACTCAGAGCCCCGGCACTTATTACCCCGGGGCATTTAGTACAGATCGCGTTCACACCGGAGTACTTTTCCATGAGGGAAGATTACGCAAATGAGCCGCTGACGTCACTTTTTCTTCTTCTGCTTTGGGTTTACTGGCAGGCAGCAAACAACTTCACGGCGTATACTGCCACCCGGAGTCCCCGGCCGGAAGTCCCCGGAGTTGGGGAAGGCTTCAGTAGAAGCTGCTGGGACTCCCAGCAGCTTCTACTGAAGCCTTCAGAGTAAATCGCCAGAACGCCGACACCTCCTCATCACTCCACCGCTCCCATGTTTTGTTTTGTGTTGCCATAAGTTAGTCTCTCTGCGTTTGTGCGCTGGGCGAATGCTAATGCTAATAATGCTAATGCCAGGATAATAAAATGGCGGCTCTACAAAACATTTCAGAGTTGTACGGGGCGTGGTTTGCAATTCGCCCAGCCAATCAGAACTGGGGCACTTTTTCCCCCAGGAAAGTACCATCTCTCAGCGGGCACTAAACATGGGGGAAAAAGTTCCCGAAATGAAGTGCTCTTTTTGGTGTGAACGCGACATAAGGGGTACTAACGGAACTAAATGCGAAAAGTACGGTGAAAAGTACTCCGGTGTGAACGCGGCTAAGTAGATAGCGAGATGGCAAACAGATGAAAGTCAGGGATCCTGATCGTTCCACAGCCTATTGTAATCTTTCTGGAGTAGAGCTGTCGTTCTTTATAACATATGTATGCAGTATTATGCAGATATGAGCAGCACTCACCCACAGGATGTCGCGGTACACGTAGCAGTACAGCCAGTCGTGAACCACTACGTTCCAGGTGCGGTAGTAGTTAGCAAAAGAGGTCGAGTTCCACCAATCCTGGGAGGTGTAATCACAATTAGTCAAGTATAAAGTAAGATATTAAGATAAGAAGTACTTTATTGATCCCAATTTGGGAAATGTTTGCGTTGCAGCAGCATAAAAAGACAAGGCATTGTACAATAGAAATTAAAAGAGTGGAAATAAACAATCCAAAATGTAAACATCTCAATGGAAATAAAATGGCATTAAAAAAAGTAGAAAATATACATGTTGAATTACATATTTACAGTAACACAATATAAAGCAGGATATATACATAAGTATGAGAGGAATGGAATATTAAATATTAGATTGAATATCAATGTAAAATGTATAAAGAACATAGACATTTAAATGAAGCTGTAGCTGGCAGAGACAGCAGGAAGTACCTTATAAAACATCCTGTCAGCGAAGCAGAGCATCTCAGCGAAAGCATTGAGCCAGCAGTGGAGGAAGGCGAAGAAACCCAGGAAGAGAACCAGCACTCCTGCAGAGAGAGAGAGAGAGAGAGAGAGAGAGAAAGAGAGAAAGAGAGAAAGAGAGAAAGAGAGAAAGAGAGAAAGAGAGAGAGAGAGAGAGAGAGAGAGAGAGAGAGAGATTACTGTGTGAGGCTCCTCTAACAGGCAACAGGAGAACACATAGTGAAAGAGAGTCTCTATACACGTGCATGGAATGATCGATTAGATACATCATTTGCATGTGGATCCTCAGACTGAGGCAGGTTCACTGGACTATTCAATTCCCAATTTGGGATCAATAAAGTACTTCTCATCTTATCTTTCCACTGCAGGCAGAAGAGGCCCAAACCTCTCTTGCTTTGCACACATCGGACTCATATTATATGACGACTTGTAGTATGTACACCGCTTTGAGTGGTCGTAGAGACTGGTAAAGCGCTAGATATAAACAGTCTATTTACCATTAAGAGTTGTGTTTCTACTCAGGAGTGTGATCAGCATACTTGCCAACCCTCCCGATTTTCGCGGGAGACTCCCGATTTCATTGCCCTCTCCCGGTTTCCTCCCGGGGTCATATTTCTCCCGCATTTCTCCCAATTTCTGACAAAATCAGATTTACTCAGGACTGTTTCCACTCGGACTTTAATACAGCTACACCATTGTTTGGTTTCCATGGTAGCGTAGCGCGCTCAACTGAAAGTCTGGAAGATAGTCACAGCAAACAGAACAAGAATCGACAATTCTACCCTCTGCTCACTCCTTTCCTGTAAAATACAGGTCCAGCCCACACATATGGTGCTACAGGCCGCAAGGCAGTGCACTTACAACTACAATAAGCATGTTAATACATGCTCCGGCGATCCACTAGCACCCCCCCGCGGTGGTTTTGGAAATGCTCCCGATTTCTGAGGTCTCAAGGTTGGCAAGTATGGTGATCAGTTCATTTGACCACATTTAAAACCGGATGGATGCCCTCAACAGGCCAGTTAGAGAACTACAACATCTGGAGGAAAAGAAGGAAATAAATTAAATAAACAAATCGGGTTGGTCCGGTCCAAGGTCTTTCACCAACAATTTCTCTCCCAAACTTCTCCTTTCGAAAGGATTTGATAACAGTGCTTGGACGGGGACCGAGGTCCGGAGTCTCCACCTGCACACGCAGCCATCCTCATATACTGTAGCGTCACCTTGGATACGATTCCAAACAACTCACAGACTGCATCGGGCGCTGAAATGGGCGCCCTATGACCATCAGATCTGACGACGCTGATTGGCTGAAATTATGTTTCGGCGGCATAGTTTACAGATAGCAACAGTCAGCTTGGCTGCTGCTGCGGGCTCCTTTCTTAGCGCCCAGAGGAGAGAGGGTAATGATTTCTGCGGCCAGGCAGGAAACATGTGACTTATCAGTAACTTTTGACATCGTAACACAATTTTAAACGACATTTTATTGTAGATTATACATTTTACTGATACCAACTATATAATATTTACCTTGTTCATTAAAAATAAAAAATAAATATTTTTTTAATATATTTTTAATGACAATCAAACATGTGGGAAGAGGGGGGGGCGGCGCCCCTAGCGCCCCTATGGGCCGGCCGCCACTGATTACCAGGTAGGTTGACACATCCGGGGAATTTGACTTGGTGTCGTGGAGCATACATCAAAGTAAAACAACAATTGAAAAACACAGATAGAGAACTATGACGGTCGGGTGTTACCGGGCAGGATGGAGTTGAAGACGCAGAGTACCATGGCTCGGAGGTCGAACAGCTGCCGGCTGCTGCTGCGAAACTGAGGGATGCAGAGCCGCACTAACACGTAGTACGCATAGAACAGACAGCCCAGCACCTGAGGGGGGGGGGGGGGGGGGGGATCCATCATGATCATAGAGTCTTGGCTCTTCTGGGGTCAACGTCTGGGTGCCAAATCATAGCATCCCATCACCCCAGTCCTTCCTGTCTCCCACCGCATCAATTACAACATGCTGGTCCTCACCTACAAAGCCCTCCACCATCTGCCCCCCCCCCCCCCCCCCCTCTATCTCACTAACCTTCTCACCCCCACGGCCCCTCAGATCCACCGCAGCCGGTCTCCTATCCATTCCCACATCCAAACTCTGCAGCATTGGGGACAGAGCCTTCTCAGTGGCAGCTCCCAGGCTCCCTCCCCTAAGATCTTCGTGACTCTGAGTCCCTCACACTCTTCCAGTCTCGCCTCAAAACCCATCTCTTCACCTCTGTCTACCCATAAGCGCCCCCCCCCAATACATTTCCTGTTGCCTGTCTTTGTTTGTCCACCCTCCCTTACACTGTAGAGCAGGGGTGTCAAACTCAATTTCATCGCGGGCCACATCAGCATTAAGGTTGCACTCAAAGGGCTGGTTGTAACTTTAAGACTATATAAAATATACATATATTTAATATATATAAAATAATGTATTATATAACATGATTGCCTCTGCATTGGATTATTATCGGATAGGGTAATAACTTCATAATTAACTACGTCTGAAAGCAGAAGTCTACGGAAAATAATTGCAAGTCTCTTCAGTGCGCATGTCACAAAACAAGATGCATCGTGGGATATGTAGTTTATGGGCAACGTGCTTCTGTAAAGCGGCACGTAACCGTATAATAAACGTATTATATTCTTTGCAAGCTCTTGCGGGGCCACATCAAATGAGGTTGCGTGCCGGATTTGGTCGACAGGCCTTGAGTTTGACACCCCTGATGTAAAGCGTCTTTGAGTTCATGAGAAGCGCTATTTATAAATATAATTTTGTATTATTATTATTAACTTTAGAATATGAAAGAGGTACCTGAAGGAGCTTTGAGGCCACGTAGCTCCACCTGATCACCGGGTTCCTGCGTTAAGAGAGAAATAAGGTTTGATCAAACACATGATCTGCTGTGAGGAGATATTTAATATGAATAGTGTTACCTGGGGTACTTGTCTCTGTAGATGAGAGTGGGTGCAAACAGGAAGTAGAGATACTGAGAGACCTGAGGCACCACAGGGCCGGGGCCTATAGAGGAGAGACCAGACATTATGTACTTTTTCAAATGTAAGGATGTCAAAGACCACATCAACGTTCCCACACCTTCTTAAACATTTTATTCAAGGACTTTCCAGGCCCTATTCCCTTTATTTCAAGTACAATTTGTTCCTGCTATCCAGATCTGCAAGACGTTTATGTGAAAGGGAATTGGGAAAATAAAGAATACAGAACCAAATGACCTCCCCTTGTAATTCTGACCACTCTTGTTACGTTGAATTAAGACATTGTCATTTGTAATATTATTCAATGTAATGCCTTTTAAGTGTTTTTAGGAAACTCTAAAGGACACACAGCTGTCTCTGAAAGGTGACGTACTGTTTTTTTCTTTAGCCCAGCTCAGGACTCGTGGGACGTTCTCTCTGACGAAGGAGTGGGCTTTCATCATCAGACGCACCTGCAGTTACACAAATAATAGAACAGAACTGCTGTTACAGACTGATCATGTATTTATGATATCTTGCCTTTCTTTAAGTTAATAATGAAGGAATCCTGTAGTCCCTCTTGCTCATGCATCGACCTCGTTGCTGCTGGAAGAACATTGAAAATCTCCTCGCTTTGGGACTAATAAAAAGCTGAGCTGCTCTTGATATGCGTACTGAATATCTCGGCTAAACACCTTCTCTTCACCAAAGAATCTAAATACAGTCGTCAGCTTCTCCACAGGTTGATTGGATAAAATAGGTGAAAATAGAAACTGACGAAGACGCTGTAAACATACTTTTTATACTGAACTAAATAACCATTTTTAAGCCTTTTGACATGCGTATTTATCATTTATTTATCATACTAGTGCTTTTAGATCAAGTGAGCAATAACAGCTATGTTTCTAACATGACATCAGTAGTAATATTATACTATTAATACTTTATTATTAATATTATTATTATTATACTAAAAATGCTTTAATATACAATCCTAGTGAATATAAGCATAACGTACATATTAAAGTGGACCTATCATGCTATATTTAAATGATATATTGTAGGGCCATACCTATACAAGGTATATTTATACATTTTTTGAACTGCAATAGAACATAAGCATAAGATGACATTACATACAGACGATGATAAGTCAATCAAGTAATCACATTTTATTTATATAGCCCAATATCACAAATTACAGATCAGTCAGGGAGCTATAAAAAACTCCCAAAGAACATTTTTAAAAACCTCAGAGTACAATCCCTCTCCCAGCAGATGTTTGCAGATGGACAGACGGACATCTGGTCTCACCTGCTCCAGGATGACGATGAAGCAGGAGGCGGGGGGGAAGCTGTTGGTCAGAACCACAAACGTCGGCAGGAAGCCAACAGCCAGCGCCTGGAAGAGCAGGAACACAGAGCCCAACAGGAAGCTGCAGAACTGAGGGTGAGACCCCCTCTGGGTCTGAGCCCACAGGTGGAACAGACTGTAGGGAACCAGCAGAACCGACAGGAACATGCAGATCCACGTGCACACCACCAGGGGGAGCTGTCCGAACGCATACACCAGCAGCTCAAAGTGCAGCACCAGTCTGAGGCAGAGGGGGAGGGGGAGGGGGGGGATGCCATCAGAGTACAAGACTTTATGTTTCAAATGATTATCTGATCATTAGACACGACATTACACACAGCAGACTTCTCCTTTACCTGCCTTCATCTATGAAATCCACCAGCAGCGTGCTGAGGATGAAGAGGATGAGCAGAGCGATGAACATGTGGTAGATGGTCCTGATGTGGTTCACCTCAAACAGCTGGCTGAGGACAAACAGAAGCATGTGATCAGAAGCAGATCCACTGAGAACATGAGGGAACCCTTGAGATGCTGCCTTCAGGGTCCACAACAACAACACCTACTACTCGTTAAGCAGTATTTACATTGTTACTCTACCTATGTTTCTATAAAGGGAAGATGTGTTCACCTACTTTTGATACATGCTTTTTAAGAGGATCTGTACCAAACAAACAATGTGTTAAGTATCTAGAATACGATTTGAAGGCTGTGATATCTTTGCAACTCCACAATTCTAAATATTTTGCTATAACGATGTACAGCTGTGGGACTAATAGAGAGGCGAAGTCCCTCCCTCTCCGGAGACCTCCATGGGACCTTATTTCAGAAAAAGTATGTATTGAAGTCAATGGAGAGAGAAAGATTATTAAAAAAATAAAATGTGTGGTAAAACTGTGAAGTAACACTTTGTTTTGTGTGAAAGCGCTCAATGAACTCCATCTCCCGTCTCGCACCACACACCCAGACGGCCGTCACGTTGGCACATTTCACTTCTTTCTTTCAGAATGAGGCGGAAAGTATTAAAAGAGGTGAAAATCACTCCAAGTCTGGGCATGTTGAGAGCTGGACATACACACAAGGGGAATTAGTCGGTTCCTAAGAGCCAGCATGCGGGACCGGGACTCTGGGATTTGTAGTCTTTCTAGTTGCATATTTTTCATAGTCTTATATTTCAACAGTTTTACGACAAACTGTGACTTTTTTGACATGGAAATGATTTTTTACGATTGACAAACATCATATGTGTAATTCGTGGCACAATTCAAACGGGATCGAGAGATAATCTTTCTCTCTCCATTGACTTCAATACATATCTTTCCCGAAATAAGGTCCCATGAGTCGGAAGTAGATGGGCGGGACTTCACCTCTCTATAAAGGGTTTCTGATTCTGATTCAGACCTGTGTTAGTTGCAAAGTTACCACATGTGGTAAAGGCGAATTCAAACTTGCACAAACCTTAAAGGATCGTTTCTGAAGTGGATATTCTGAAGATGCTATGGTACTTAATTTGAGTCTGTGAAATAGATCATTGTGGAACAATCTAACACTGTCATATACTTACTGATGGTTTATTCATTGCCAGTTTTGTGTTTAGCTTTGTTAAACCTGCTATAATCTTGTGTTCATCCACCTTATTGTCCCTAACTGTTCATGTATTTTAAGTTGTTGTTGAATGGGAGCACATTCCTCCTTGCAATGAGCCTTTCACAAGATTAAAGAAGTAGTGAAAGCGCCTGTAGCTGATCACCACAAAGACCCAACAGTGCTTCTACTCCTCTGTCTCCATTATATATATATATATATATATATATATATATATATATATATATATATATATATATTTATCTCAGATCACAACCGTAACTTACTCTAAGAGGGACCGGCGACTGACGAACTGCTTCCCCTCACCGTGAGGAGGCCGGAAATACCTGAAGGGAAACACACAGTAGATATACTTTAGACGGAGAAAAGGTGTGTGCGACCAAGAGAGAAACAGGAACAGATTGTCTTTACACACATCTATAGAGTGGTGCAGTGACGAGTCCTAAAACCCGGAAGTGAGTTAGCATTTGACCACTTACGGTTCCCTCGTCTCAGAGTCAATGGGAGTTAGGAAAATATCTGGAAATAAGGTCTGTGGTTTTGAGACACATTGAAGAGACGGATCACGTTTTGTTCTAGGACATTAAATCCATCAGCAGTGACCCCACTGGTGATTTCTGAAGAGTTGACGTGTCTGAAAAACGATGGTTGTTACCAAGTGGCTGAATAGGACTACAGAAGTCGTGGAGGCCGTTGTACGTCATTACGCCGAACACGTAAACACTCCTCTAAGTTAGTTTGCCCTGTTCTGCTTGAGAGCAAGTACCTGCCTCCTGCTAAGTGTTCAAACAAACGCTTCAACTCGTTCCATTTAGAATCTGTGTGTTTGAATATGGATCTGAAGTTGGCGTGACGTTGAAGTCGTGCTGCTGGACTCGCCTGTAGTTCCTTTATAGCATCACGTTAGCATTTTGCTTCTGGATATTATTTTGATTCGAACATTATAAAAGTAGGGTAGACATGTGGAGATTATCCGGCTGAACAAAACGTGCATTTATCAAACAGGTTCGTTTTCCACAGATCTTATTTTTTACAATATTCCAAAATCCTCTGGAGAAATCCCGTTGCTTTTTTGTCGAGGGAACCAGCAGCTTCCTTCAAGGTCGACCTACAAAAACACGTCATCACTGCACCGCTCTATTGCAACCTCAAATAAGACTTTGACAGGGAGGAAGGAGAGCAAAGGCACCTGAGTTTGCTCCTCTCCTTGTCGGACAGCGGGGGGGAGAAGGAGGCGGGGAGAGGAGCAGACTCCAGGCTGGACGACTCCTCCATCAGACTGTCCATGAAGTCGTTCACGTGGCCGTCCAGCTGATGCATCAGGTCGCTCTTCAGGTGCTGAGGAACACAGCAGAGGAGAAGCAGGTATCACTCATAGTCTGCAAATACTTGACGGATTATGTGGAATATTTTTGAGTTAAATGTGAGAAGGAACATAGCTACAGATTTCATTTTGAGAGATTTCAAGAGACAGGATTTTACACGAGTTTCCCTTGAGCACGGGCCAAATAATGGCCATTAAAGTGGACCTATCATGCTATATTTGAATAATATAGTGTAGGACCATACTTATAAGTATAAGGCATATTTATACTTTTTTTTTTTTTCAAAATACCAAACAGATCATGCATTTTAGCCATGCCTCATTTCGCTCAATTTGACAATTTCTAGCTCTGTTTTAGCAAGGGCAGATTCAGTGAGAACAGCACCACCTACAGGCCTGGCATATGTACTACAGCGTCTCCAGCGCTTTGGAACGGCAAAGGCCGTGGCTGTCTCCTCCTGATTGGTGGAGTTGGCCCAATAGCCGTAGCGCCACCGTCCTGACGTCAGGACAGTGTTCAAATCTGGATCAGTTTTTATCAGATCCGTTGCAGCCCCTTTTTTAGAGATTTGGGCAGTGGCGGCCGGTGGTCTTTTTTTTTGGTGGGGCTCTTGACGTACCGCAAGTGACCTACCCGGGGGGTTTCCCCCCGAATTTTTTTTTCGAGAAATGACCCCTTAAATGATGACTTCTGGTGATGTTAGAGGGGGGGGGAAGGAGAAATCGAGGCTTAAAAATATGAGAAGACTGATCAATACCTCCATAATCTTCAGTGTGGAAAATATTATTTATCAACCTGAACATCTACTACTTTACCAGGAATTTGTGTTCTCAGAACTGGTCTGTTTTTTTCTTTCTTAAAACTGTTCATGTTTTATGAACCAACACCTTCACCAAGTAGCTTTACAGTGAACTGCATGTGAGATATAAAATTAATAGCATCTTTTCAGTAGCATTAATTATAAATATTTAAGTGGTTCAATACAAGTCACTACAGCATTTCAAACTGAACTGTGAATAAATGCAATTTAAAAAAAATAACCACAGCACAAAATGTCATAAATTGTGTTTTTTCTTTGTTTCTCTGAGGATTATTTACAAACAGGCTTATTTACATATATCAATAACTCAGAAATGAAAAAGCTACATCGTCTAACACGAACAACCAGTTAGCATAATGATAATATATGTGTTATGTACAATGTATCTGGCAAGGCTAGAGCAAGAAAGAACATAAAGTTTGCAAAAGGTTTAAATAACTTCAAGTATCTGTCTTCAGATTACGTGGAGGTTTTAGTCCGATGGGAAGCAGATTTTAAGCGACACCGAAGATAAACCAAAAATGTGGTGGAGCTGCAAACCGTGTAGTGTTGCTGGGACAGAACAGGAGCTATAACCGTTGGAAAATACATCACAGACAATGCAACAAACGTGGAGACAGAACAATCACTTCTGTGATAAATGCCCACTTATTAATAAACTTCTAACAACCATGGGAAACCTCCTCTCTACATATAAAGTGATATCCAAGCATGGGAAACAAAAGACAGCATTTACCTGTTTGCATCCAGCTAGCCAAGCCTTTCTTGTGTACCAGCTACTTGTGAAGCCTCGTGTATAAATGTTGTCTTTTTCACGAGATTGCTGCGATATATTCAAATCGGGTTGGTCCGGTGCAAGGTCTTTAAGCAACAATTTATCTGCCAAACTTCTCCTTTCGAAAGGATTGGAGATTAGCTCTTGAACAGAATTAGGCGCGGACCGAGGTCCGGAGACTCCACCTGCACACGAAGCCATCCTCATCAACTACTGCGTCAACCGGATACGAGTCACTGTCCAAACTACTCACAGACTGCACTGGGCGCTGACATTGGCGCCCGGTGACCGTCATCTTTGACGACGCTAATTGGCTGAAATTATATTTTCGCGGCATAGTTTACACGTTACAGATAGCAACAGTCAGCTGCTGGTGGCTGCTGCTGCACTGGTTGAAGGCTCCTCTCTTAGCGCCCAGACGAGAGAAGGTGCATGGGCAAGGCCAGGCAGGAAACATGTGACTTATCAGTAACTTTAGACATCGTAACACAATTTTAAACGAGATTTTATTGTAGATTATACATTTTACTGATACCAATTATATAATATTTACCTTGTTCATTAAAATAAAAATAAAAACATATATATTTTTTTAAACATATTTTTTTTTTTTTATTTTAATTTTAATTATTATTTATTTTTATCAATATGGGAAGAGGTGGGGCGGCGCCCCTAGCGCCCCTATGGACCGGCCGCCACTGGATTTGGGTATGGAGGAAAATAGAGAGGGTTGTGTTTTCTGACACTTGGTGAGTTCCCTGGAACACCGGGGACACATATTCATGTAGAAAAGACGTACAAAAGTGCATTTTGCATGATAGGTCCCCTTTAAGTAAAAAGATGTTTTGAAAATTGTCATGAAAAATTTGATTTCAATATAATCATTTATTTTAATTTCAACGGTCATGATTCAGCTCATCTCTAGTAGGGATTGTAATAATTTGAATAAACAGCAGCAGTTATCATTCATAGTCTGCAAATACTTGGAAGGATTCTGTGGAATATTTTGGTGTTAAATGTGACAAGGAACATAGCTCTAGCTATTTGATCTGTTGTATGTCCTATATATATTCATGTTGCTCTGTTGGAGGAGCCTGTGACTTCAGTTTGTCATTGCCATATCTACACTGAAGCTCATGAGCACGTGATGATAAACACTTGAAACTTGACCTACAGAATTCATTTTTCCACACCGATCAGGAGAGAAGAGACATGATTTGACATTAGTTTCCCTCGAGCACAAGCCAAATAATGCATGACTTCAAGAGGGATCTTTTTCTGGTAAAAAAAAACGTTTCAAAAATTGTCATGAAAAATGAGATTTCAATGAAATCATCTATTTTAATTTCAACGGTCTTTCTTTCTTTCTTCTTGTGTCTTCAGGAGAGAATCAATATCTAATTCAGCTCAAATCTAGAAAGGATTTAGTTTGATAAAAAGTACTGAATGTAATGAATGTCTATCTGATTGAAATAAAGACCCCGTTAAATCATAAATGAACTCAATCATTAAAAAAATATATGCATAAAAGACACGTGATTAACTTAGGCATTAGAAGTAGCCTGTCGAAAACAGTGAAATATCACCCTGAACACTTTCATCCAAGTTTAGTGTTTGTTATCTAATAATAATGCATTTCTAAAGATTAACTTAGTGGAACAACTGCTTGAGGTAAAAACAACAGATAAATCGTCCATAATATTCTAGAAAATAACTAAACACGAATCATTTGAGTAAAAAAACTTTGTCTACAAACAGTAAGATAATACTTAAAGCAACACCATCTAAAATAATGTCATATATTATTATATATTGACTTTATTTGCACAAAACTTGAGTGCTTTTTTATATTTTAGCTACATGTTGCTGACAATACTTCTGTACCTTTTCAGTAAGAATTTGAAAGTAGGACTTTCACTTGTAATGGAGTAATTTGACATGAAGGTATTGGGACTTTTACTCAAGTACAGGATCTGAATACTTCTACCACTGAGCATTTTATTAATGTAAAGTACTGCGTCACTAACCTCTGCTTTCCTCTTCAGCTGCAGCTTCTTGCTGATCACATGCTCCACCTCAATTATGCCTGTGAAATTGGAAAGAGAGCAAACAAGATCTGAGCATATCAAAACTAATTATTGTGTTGCTTTTAATCATACGAAGCCAGATTAAATTAAATAACGACTTCTCCAACCTTATACTTTTCTCCAGAGTGCCGTGGTTCATTGTTTATTCATGTGTTTCAACGGCATTTACCTACCGCTGCAGTGCTGGCTGCTCTTCCACGGGAGTGTATTCTCCCGTTAGCTCCGGGTTAGCTCACACGGCTCTAAAGTATTCACTGTCTGACTGTCACACAAGCAGCTGATACATATCCCCAGTTCCCCTTAAGTGAATGTGTGTCAGTCTGAATTGACGCTGTTTGGCATCACAACGCTGTTATGAAAGTTTCTCTGGTATAACATGGGTGATGTTAGCATAGCAACCGAAGCTAAACTGACTACTTGCTAAGCCGTTTTCGACAGGCACTTTTTACCGGCGTATTTTTCATTATGATTCTACTTGTGATAGTCGGACATGACAACCTGTACAGCCCATGTATTGATTCCATCCGATAGCTGCTATAATAACAAACAAAACGTCTGCCTGCTCTCCACAATGATCAATAACAGCGAACGGATGGTCAAAGTAAGGTACAAATAAACAGAATCACACGAAGCCTGGTTAGTGTTGCCTGACTTTATAAAGCGTGTTTTTTTTTTACAAGTGTGTGGTTGCCTTCTAGTCACTTTGCTCAGCACTACTGCTTGTTACAACTTTTATTTGCCGTACTCGCCTTAACTGTTATCTCAGGTTAATCTCGCCCCCCTCCGACGTAAGCGTGACGTATGCGGTTCTTGCTTCTACACGGACAACTTTTTGGTGCTCGAAACGAACCGGATTCCGGAGTTTAGAGGCTGCTCCGCTGCGGTGTGAACAGGAAAACCCGGTGCTTTTCAAGCTCCAGCTCCGAACCAGCCCTGAAACACCGTTGGTGTGAATGGGGTATAGGAGGAGATTCAGGTGATAAGGTTTTTTTTTGTCCTATCGGTTTTGTCTAAATGTATTTATGCTGCTTTTTATATATGTATTGATGAACAGCACTTTGGTTAACTCTGTTTTTAAATGTCAGAATCAGAATCCCTTTACTCGTCCCACAGAGGGGAGATGTACATAGTTACAGCAGAAAAGAGCCAAAGACAGCTTCATGTTACCTAAGAATTTGTATAATACAAATTACACAATTTACAAAATACACATCCTGTAACAGTTCTGAGGATTTATTGCAGTTATTAACGGCATATATATATTGCACATATTGCACATAGTTGGTATAAAATGTGCTATAGAAATAAAGTTGGCACTGATTTGTCAGGGAGAATGTACCAAGAGTCCTCACTTAGACTCAAGAGAAGAACCCTCCACACTGTCTGTTTTTAAATCGCTTCTGAAAACCCACCTCTTCTCCTGAGCGTATTGACATCTTGGAGATTGTTGCTTTTATTGCTTTTAAATTGTCTATTGTTTTTACTTGTACTTGTTTTATGGTGTGTGAGCTGAGCTGTGTGATGTTTGTTTGTTTGTTTATTTATTTGACTGAACAGCACTTTGGTCTGGAGTAGGGCTGTGCGATTATGGCAAAAATCATAATCACGATTATTTGGGTCAATAATTGATATCACGATTATTCATTGACTTTGAAAAAATCCATTTATTGAACTTTAAAACAAATACAAATAATAATTTGAACAGTATCTTTCTAACTGTTGATTACCCTGAACGTATAATTCAACTGAAAAACCAATTCAAAAATAAATTATACATTTAAATAAATAATATCAAAATAATAAATACCAATAAACAAGATCAACAAATATTTTGGAGCGCACTTCCCCAAGCTACTAAACATATATAAATATGATAAATACAAATAAATTAGACCAAAATTAATTAGATCAAATATGTTGCAGTGCACGGTCACAACCTAGCAAATTTTCGTAATTGTGGCAGGCCAAAATCGTAATTGCGATTAAAATACGATTAATTGCACAGCCCTAGTCTGGAGGTTTTAAATGCTTTATAAATAAAGCTGTATTGTATAGTATTGTAACCTTAAAGGTGGGGTAGGTAAGTTTGAGAAACCGGCTCGAGATACACTTGTTGTTATATTCCATGGAATGCTCTTAACATCCTGATAGCAATGAATATCTGAAGTGCTTTGACAAAAAATCCATAAAAAAATGTCATCTGTGGAAGCCGTGGTACTGTAAAAAGCACGACCAATCATCTGAGCCGGCCCGGCTAAAATAACTGGATGGCCTACCTGCCTGTCAGCCTTCCATCTGTGCACAGACTTATCTCGTGCCCTCATTGGTCATGTGCACGTTCTTGTGTGTTGGAGGAGGGGCTCTGTAAGGAAGTGGCAGATTTTCTCCGGTTGTGTATTTTCAAATTCTAGCGATCTCGAGCCGGTTTCTCAAACTTACCTACCCTACCTTTAACTAAACTTATACTTGAATCTGTTTCTCACCGTTGCTGGTAGCATGGCTGACTCCGTTGCCCTGCTGCTGCTGTTCTGGTTTCCTGTCCCCGTCCAAAGAGCTGAAGGATCGGTCCGGGTCCGGGGAGGTGGGGGGCGTCTCTGGTGATCTGCAGCGAGACCGGAGGACACCGCCATCTTCCCCTCTCTCCATCCTGACAGGAAACAACACATTTAGGGTCAAAACAAAGCAGAATCAGAGGCTTCCTCATCCGGCTGCTCGAGGAGCCAGCAGGTGGAGGAGTAGAGTCCAGAGTGTTCAATGAGACCGTCCATGGATTTACCTGATGGATAAATAAGGAAAATACATGCAAAGTAACAAACATATAATTTTTATACCTGCAGTGGCGGCGCCAGAGCATTTTTGTTGGGTAATCTATGGTAGGGCTAACCCATACAGTGGTGGTGCTCAAGTCAGTATTTGCAATGTAATTACATACACACTATATCGCCCCCCTTGACAGTGAAACGCCACGCGTGAGGTTTAGATTATTTCCCTGTCTCAATCAAAATGGAACTGTATGAAATAAAACGGCACATTTGTCTTGTAGTAAATAAAAAGGGATCACTGTGAACGTGACGTATGATAGTACACGTTGAAGATCCAATGGGGATACTGAATGACGGTTCCGATTGATCTCAATCAGTAATGCATGACAGATCCAACGTTGCTCTGATTGGCTGTAGGTCTATTCAAATTGCATTCGGAGGCATTTTGATCTGACCGCGGCCGCGCTGATATTATAACGCCAGAGAATTTCCACACCTTTAGTGTATAAAACTCCCCCACTACTTGGACTATTCCTTGCACCCCTCTTATAGCATAAGCCCGAATGGTCTCAACCATATTGCATCAGTAACGTGCACTTGTTGTTACAGCAGGATCAGTTTGTGTGCTGTGGACACGACCCGTATATTTTCGCAATCCGTGTTCTCAACATTTAGCATTTCGCTTATTATGTAATTGAATTTGCATCACTTTTCATGGTGGGGCTAAGGTGGGGCTAAGCCATTTCTTGGTATGGCTGTAGCCTACCCCAGCCATACCCTGGCGCCGCCACTGGATTTACCTGATGGAGAAATAAGGAAAATACATGCAAAGTAACAAACATATAATTGTCATGATCTCAATTCCCAACAACATATATGATTAATCTTTGCAAATACTCTCTGCTACATCACATTAGACACTGAAAATCATTTGTGTTTTTATGACAAATACTAAAATAAAGACATGGGTTATCTTGAAAAAACTAAAATGAAACTATTTTTCATTTTTGAACTGATTTTCAATTTATTTTCATTGTAAGAGCATGTTTACGAGATAAAGTATGTTGTACTTGTTCTAGTACTCAGATCTTGTACTTGAGTAAAAGTAGAAGTACTCATATATTGTACTTCAGTAAAATTAGAAGTACTCTGATCTTGTACTTGAGTAAAAGTAGAAGTACTCAGATCTTGTGCTTGAGTAAAAGTAGAAGTACTCAGGTCTTGTACTTGAGTAAAAGTAGAAGTACTCAGATCTTGTACTTGAGTAAAAGTAGAAGTACTCAGATCTTGTACTTGAGTAAAAGTAGAAGTACCAGAGTGTAGGAATACTCTGTTACAGTAAAAGTCCTGCATTCAAAATGTTCCTCAAGTAAAAGTAGAAAAAGTATTAAATACATGTAGTGGAGTAAAAGTACACCATGTACCTCTGAACTGTAGTGGAGTAGAAGAACACAGTAACATCACATTAAAATACTCAAGTAAAGTACACACAAGTGTGAATATGAATATGAAACATGTAAAATGACCCACAGCACAGAATAATTATAGGTTAGTATTTTAAAATGTGGTAAATAATATTTGGTTTAAAAGAAAATGAGCACCTGATGCTACCATCACCTGTGAGGGAATGCAAAGTGTTTTGACTAACAAACAAGGCAAACAAATCAGAGTCACATGACAGCCAGCAGCAGACAGGAGGCTAGCAGTTAGCTCTGATGCTAATGACAGGTTAAGTTTAAATCAGGAGCTAACGGCAGTTTTAAAGCGAACAGGTGAACAGCCGTTAGAAAACTCCTATTCTGCCGAGAGACACCAACGGCTGCTAGCTCTGACACATTAGCACACTTGTTGACGTTAGCTAAGGAACAGGTTGCCAGAAGAAACGATAAATGATTAATTAAAAGGCTTTATAACGAGGTTCTGAGACATACTCACTTTAAAGCACCGGGGAGCCTCTTTTTTAATCCGCCTCCTCCGTTTAGAGTCAGTCAGACAGAGAGCGGAGGACCACCTTCTCTCCGCTGTATCAACAGAGGACATGATGAGCAGCGCTGCGCCATCTGATTGGTCCAAAGTCTCTCCTCCTTCTGACGTCATCAGCATTATTTTAAGTTAGTTTCAGGTATTTAATAGCAGCATACTAAAGACACAAACTGACAATATATTACAAATATAAAATTAATAAAAATGAAGGGCCAAGGCTTATTCCTTTACTTCTATTTTTCTACACAGTTTGGTTACATTTGTATTTCCCATTGATTTAATAAATTTAAAAAAGTCAATAGGAAACCCACCAAAATTCCAGCTAACCAATCAGAGCAGACTGGGCTCTGGTTTCAGACAGAGGGTGAACAGAGGTGCTGCAGCACAGGCAGTATGAGAACAATAAAGAGCTTTCTGAACATTAAAGCATGGAGACATGTAGAGACACTACATACTGATATACACCTGAACATCAGCAGGAGAGGACTCTTTAAAGTAGAGACACTACATACTGATATACACCTGAACATCAGCAGGAGAGGACTCTTTAAAGTAGAGACACTACATACTGATATACACCTGAACATCAGCAGGAGAGGACTCTTTAAAGTAGAGACACTACATACTGATATACACCTGAACATCAGCAGGAGAGGACTCTTTAAAGACACTACATACTGATATACACCTGAACATCAGCAGGAGAGGACTCTTTAAAGTAGAGACACTACATACTGATATACACCTGAACATCAACAGGAGAGGACTCTTTAAAGTAGAGACACTACATACTGATATACACCTGAACATCAGCAGGAGAGGACTCTTTAAAGCAGAGACACTACATACTGATATACACCTGAACATCAGCAGGAGAGGACTCTTTAAAGTAGAGACACTACATACTGATATACACCTGAACATCAGCAGGAGAGGACTCTTTAAAGTAGAGGCACTACATACTGATATACACCTGAACATCAGCAGGAGAGGACTCTTTAAAGTAGAGACACTACATACTGATATACACCTGAACATCAGCAGGAGAGGACTCTTTAAAGTAGAGACACTACATACTGATATACACCTGAACATCAGCAGGAGAGGACTCTTTAAAGTAGAGACACTACATACTGATATACACCTGAACATCAGCAGGAGAGGACTCTTTAAAGCAGAGACACTACATACAGATATGAAACTGAGGGCATTGCCCTCTAAGTAACTCACGATGATTGATAATTGAAATGGTTTTATGGACAGATGTCTTTACCTCAGAGACACTGAGATGCTTTTATAAACATTTTGAAAAACGACGTCATCTGATAAACAGCAAAACTTACCGGCTGATGGAAAAGTACCACAGATGTTTGTCCGATCTTTTAAATACATTTGATATGTTTTAGACAATCGACTATTGTAAGAAAACTTTATTTATACAGCAACCTTCATAAAGGGGGAGTTGAGACTAAATTAAAGCACTGTGCTGCACCAGAGCAGAACAGAAGTTAATGAGTGAATTTGGGATGTGGGAAAGTCATGCATGTTATCATTGATTTGGAGTTGGAAAAGAGGGGTTTTGTTACGCAGGAAACTTCAGCTGACCGCCTCCAGGCCCTTTCTGTCACACATCATGTCCCTGGGATCTGACTGTGGAGCAAAATCAAAACAGTTTTCACCCAAAAATGTTCAATATTTCAACCTTCTTAACTCTGCAGCAGAGGAGACAGTTAACCAAGTTCAGTCCCAATAATCACCACTACATTAAATATGAAACATTTTCAAGCTACAAATGCCACTGTTTTTTTTTTTGTATTCAATTATTCTTTGTATTCTCAATTCTAGGGATTTTTTGTTTGAATTTGTGCGATGTGCCAATGATTATGACATTCATTTAGTGTGCAAGAAACCGAGAAGAACGAATCCATGATAAAAAGATTTAAAAAAACGACACAAATTACAATGTTAAGCCTCTATTAAAGGCTTGATATAATAGACTGCATGATGTTATGCTCTGATGGCTGTGGGGTCACTAATTGTGGCATCAATGGGGGCCTTCATTTGGCTAAACGTTTTTTTATTGACTAAACATAAGAGCAGCTGAGTTCAAACTTCTACAATGCAGAAAAACACTGCTTGAATGTTTCCCTTTTGCATTAACACAATACAAAATAACTGAACGTTTACATTCGTAACTTACGAAGTTGCCGCTCACGAAGTTGCTGCCGGAGCCTGAGAAACTCCACCGGCGGTCATACGATGGCTTAAGATGCCCTCACGAATGGCCCGATGTTGTTACGATCAGAGCCGAATTTGAACATTTCCTTTATCGTGTGTCCATCGGGTGTCAATTTCAGGACAGTGTGACAGGGGCTTTAGCATTTCTTGCTGTTTACATGTTAATTGCAGAGGCTGGCAAGGGACAAATGATTGAAATTAGTAAGGCTTTTCTCAACTAAAAATACTTATAATTGTTGACTAATTGATTTGACAGATCTGATTATCTCGAGGAAGATCAAATGATTCATTCTTAATCGACTACGACCAAAATAACCTTTGAGTCAAATTAGTGAGGGAGACCTAGAAACACCTTACAAGCCAACGTTACTAACCACAGCCGAATTGCCTAGTATTAACAGAAAGATTATTACATTTGATATAAGGAATAGGAATGATTTTGAAGATGTAAAACTAGTGTATTCTTTTTTATATTTTAGATCATACACTTCCTAGCGGTTCAGGACCCATCGTTGTTGGAGTGGTAAGAACACTCTGTTGTTCCCACTCCTGGTCCCGCTGGCTGTGCTCCTGGTGGGTCTCTACAACAAAAGAATGCCCGGTAAGTGCAATATATAACAACTGTCTTCCTTCAACAACAAGATACCTGTTATGGCCAAGAGCCATAGCGTGGGAAGGACGAGAACATATATGAAAAATATATTTATTAACAGAAGCTTAACGTAAACTAAAAAAACTAACACAAAGGGAAAACAAAAGACGAAGCAACGTGGCTGCTCCGAGGTCAGGTCCTCTGCGGGAGAGAGAGATCGAGACTCTGGCTCAGGCCTCTTAATCCTCCGCCAGCCATCATGTGTCCTCAATCAGGGCGTCAGGTGTCCCCAATCAGGGCGTCACAAGCAGAGGAGAAACATTAAAGGGCCATTCACACCACAGGAGACAACAAGGCAGGGGTCGTCACAATACCTTTGGATGGAATATTTGTGTTTTATTTTCTGTACAAGAAAATACAACATGTAATTCGAGTGAGTGTTTATTGAACAAAAACTTCATTCTAATAGTTAGGTTTAATCTTTCTAGCATATTACATGTGCTGTTTTGAGGGCATTGCGCGATGAGTGCTCTCATCATAGAGTGTCCAATGCTGGACGATTCTCACTCAACGATCGCCATCTTAGCTGCATCACGGAAGTTACGCAGTTATCAGAGCAACAAGCTGAGCTAGCTCGGTTATCCTGCTGTGATCTGATCAAGAATGATTGTGATTGGTGGTTTGCTGTGCATGCAGAGCCGGCATGTCACTCACTCAAGTGCCCCTGACATGAGAGCGTGAGTTTTCCTTTTGTAGCAAGCAGCAAAAATAATTGTAACATGACGTGTTTGAGTTCATTTGCCTACTTAATATCGTCCTAAAAACCCTAGTCTCTAGCTATCGTTGCTAGCTATCGTTGTTAGTACAACATGCAGTGTACTAAGGGCAGTATCTGGACTTGGACAAAGCATTGGTTTTACAGTCTTGTCAGCCATGAGCAAGGATGTGTTGTGTGAGATCGTTCTAAAGTGCAAAGGTCTGTTATTATTTGATGATGTTCTTCAAAAGGGGATCAGAGGTCACATCGAATAGCAGTCCTGTCAATCATTATCTGGAATAACTGTAAACCTTAATCCACTGCACAGTGAGTTGACCCTGCTCACAGCCGCCCAGCTCTCATCAGATCTGAAGTTTCTCCCTCACAGTGAGCTTCTGTAGGGCTCCGTTTAAAATATCCATCGTTCTGCTTCATATCAATCTTTATTTGCACGATCCTATGATAATGAAACTTAATATTTCATGCAAGAGTAAGAAAGACATTCTCTGAAAATGCTGCTTTCAGCCTCAAATATGTACATTTCCTGCTTTTCTTACGCCTTTGAGACACTGAGTCATTTTGTTTTGCTGAAATTTTACTGACCCAACGATGAACTGAACAAATTATCAAAATATTTATTGATTAAAAAAAAAGTTTTTAGTTGGAGCCCTTATTTATATTCGGTCAAACAATTAATCACATTTTATTTATATAGCCCAATATCGAACATTTGACATTTGTCTCAGTGATGTTGACTTTATCCATAATCATAGCTATGTGTTAACATGGTCTTTATTTACAGGAGCGTGCATAAGTGGAAATAAGGGCGAAGGTAACTCGTTTATTTTCTGTTTAAATCAAAACATTCAGGTAGCAGCAGATTTGAAAATGTCTTCTCTTTGCAGGTTCAAAGCCTCTGAGAAGCAGCAGTGATGGCTCAGGTGGTCAGTGTCTCTGTCCACTCATTAAAAGCTGGTTGTGTGTGTCTTCATGTGTGTGTTTTAACTGTGTCTTCTGGTGCTTTTCCACTGCAGCACGCCCCGCTTTTTTTTTGCTTTTCCACTCAGGGCTACTTTTTCACCTTTTTTCTGGCCCTCCAAAATTGAGGTTCTTACCGGGCCAACAACCGGGCTGAATATGCTAAACTAGTGACGGCAAGGGGGCTACCACTACAACAACATGAACATATTTGACCGTGATTTAATTGTAATACACAGTGAAATCGCACTCAACGAGTGAAACTGGACAGTAAGAATCACCTCACAATGGATTAAGGATCGTATATATAATATATATATCATTAGTAACAATATATAAAATATATTATATATAAATATATATATGCCGCTAATATATGCTGCATCAATACCTTCACCCAGCTTTGAGGCCTCCAATGAATGAAATCATCTTGTGGCTGGGAAAAATGTGAACAAATAAATCTCACAAAGAGT